GGGGGGGGGGGGTGCGTCTGCTGCTGGAAAGCTTGGACAATCTTTTCCTCAAATCAGGTCCACCCCGCCGGTTATCAGAGGAACTGGAAATACATGTTTATTTTACTTCAACTGTTTCCGAATTTGCTTTCTAACTCAGCTGATCTTGTAGTTTAAATTTTAATTAAAACTCGCCTCAAACAGTCTGTCCGCAGAAAATGATTCAGAGCGAAATTAGAAACGTGTCTTGCCTTCACACCTGAGAAATTTGCCAATGCCTGTAATCTGGCCTATTGATTTTAAACGCTGCAAAAAATGTGACACCCAACCCGATAGAGCTGAGATCACTCTGCGGTGTTTCACTTTGCTGGCTAAAAGTAAGAAACTGAAGCCCAGGACTGAAGTAGGCAACTCCATGATTAATCATTACTAATGAGGAAGGAGGCCCAGGAAGTGCACAGCAAATCAAAATGAATTAATTGCCTGAAGAACATAGAGTAGTAGAGTAATTGCATTACTTGTTTTCAGTGTCACAGGGGTGTCATTCCCTTTCGCAATCAAAGGCCAGTTCGAAAATTAAATACAATACCATCTTGGGGCTGCACCGCTTCTGACAAGGCTGATTGAATGAATGTATTACCAAAAGAAACGCACATTGTTTGCCAACGCACCCCCCAACTACTTTTTCCTCCACTGTAGGGGAGGATGTTTATCAGTGCTGCAGTTCCATGGTTATGGATGATCCACGCGCGATGCAGCGAAGGTTGTCCCACCCCGAGGAGCCCGAGCCCTGCTTATTTCAGCAGAAAGCTTCAGCGGAGAGCGGGCGTTTAGCAAGCATAAGCACAGGACATGGTGGATGTGATGTCAACAGAGGGCCTGTAATAGATCAGTCTGACCCTCCAAGATAAATCTGGGGTTTTATGATGTTGAACAGTGTGCTGCTCCTGCCCACACTCAGCAAGTCAAGACTGTGGGGTAAATTGCTTCAGGAATTAAAGAAGTGACTTGCAAACCTTAGTGTGCTATGATATGAACCATCAATCACCCTCAACATGTTCTTCCCCTTGTCTTGTTTAAATACATATTTTTTCCACAAATATCTGTAATATCTTTGATATCTATCATATTGATGTATCAGAGTAGTGATAGCAAGTAATACCAACCTTTTAAAGCTGCAGTAGGTTATTTTTCTAAAAGAAAATTGTCATATTTGACACCATTCCACTCCACTACCAGTAGTGGAGTGGAAATGTACAGTTTCTGAAACGATGACAAGACTAGAAAGTTTATGTGGATTCACATGTAGCAGATTTGTCTGCTAAACAATCATTCTAGAGCCCAATCAATATGGGATTTTAAGAGGAGAGAAATACACAAATTACCAATGTGGTGATCAATATACTTTATTAATTAATACCACTTCGCAAAAGGCTGCTTTCTTAAACAAATAACTTTGTAAAGAATATTTAAATTAAATATATAGGGACATGGGAAAAACATGGGAAAAACAAAAAAAATGAAACATTTCTCGTGCCCACGAGATACTTTCCCTTTTCCTGAGCACCAGAAAGTATCTTATGCACACGAGTAACACTAGGTTAAGTACAGGCAGTGCTTCCTGTATGCCTCTAGGCTCATTAACTGCGGTCAAGTCAGCCGTTACTAGGGTGGCCGTTCGTCTGGCTTTTAAATGCCCTGTCTGGCTGCATTCATCATGGTCATGAAACACTTTAATGTAACATATATATTTTTTTTAATGTAGGTTCAAATTATAGCTTACTGTTCTTAATACTTTTATTTTGAAAACCGGAAGTGAATACGCTGTTTCTCCGCAATTGACCTTGCTGGCACACCTAACTTTGACGGCACAAAGCGCGACGCATGCTGGGTAGATACGGCACTCGATGACACCATTGACAGTTGATGCAGCACTTAGCGACAAGAACACCAACCTCTCTGTGCTCTTCATTGTCTTTGGTAAGACAAGTGACACTTCTTATGTTTTATAGGTCTACCCCAGCGTTTGGGAAAGAGAATGGTAATATTAGCTAAATTGCTGTTTTTTATGTCAGACAGAGGATAACGCTGTCGTGACGTTCAGGGTTAGAAACAATGTACATAGCTAGCTAGCTATCGCCATCTGATGGCTAAAACGTGTACACAGACAACTGAATGCATAATATTTCTCATTACAGATTTGGTACTGATCTCAGTGAGGTTGCAGTGGACAAAAGGAGCATGGCGTTTTAGACTATGCAAACAAAAGTGTGGAAAATGTACAAGAGTAGGGAAAAAGCTGCAGGCCCCTACCGTGAGAGGCTACACGCCAAAGCAAAGGCGCGGTATTTGGAAAAAATTAAAGGAATTAAAGGCATAGATCCATATGAGCACGTGTTGGACGGATGACAGGGACCTCCTGCCAAACTTCACGCAGAGACACCTTTACAACTACATGGTGTTAGGTGTAAGTGCCTACAGTAATGAAGTTTTTAAAAATATTCGATCTGTACAAATGGGACATGTCCAGTATACAAGTGGATGGGTGCACGACCCAATGGAGATGTTCAAAGTTGACTCCAAAACCATAGTGCATGGTTAAGTAAGGTAAGCTTACAGGCACCAGTCACACACCCCTCTGTTGCCAGGTTTCTCTAAGTTCATCCAAGACTCAATTTATAAATTGGCATTATGAAATAAATAGAATGCTTGTGCAAGAGAGTCGTACCGCAGAAAGCAGGAGTTGCAGCATGAGGAGCTGAAAGTGGAGAAATGTGGTTTCATCGTGAATCCATCCTTCCCTGAACTGGGAGCATCCCCTGACGCTCTTGTTGACTGTGTCTGTTGTGGGAAGGGCTGTGTGGAAATCAAATGCCCTCACAAGCATCGCGACCACATCATCTTCCAG